GTCAAATTTTAGCACAAAACAATAGGCAAATAGTGTATAACAAGAAAAAAAAAAGTTTCAAATTTCAATGACAAATGTAACAATAAAATTCAAAAATTAATCTAACTAATTTTATCAAAAGATGCATAATCAAAATCATTTGTAATTGCTTGATAACATTTTATATTTTTTGTAAAAATAGAAAAAAAATGAGGTGTCGCAAGTTATACTGAAAAGTTTATTGAATAAGTTGAAAAGAATTTATAAAGTTATATACCATTTTTACTATTAACTCTTTCAAATGCTTTTAAGAACTTAAATTATGTTGGCCGTAATTAAGACATTAATTATTAAAATGGTGACTGATATTCAAAAGAGATAATTAGAGATAATTAGAGAGTTGCTAATGAAAATATTTTATACACCTAATGATGTTAAAACAACTAAAAGTTATAAAGTATTGGACAAAAAAGTTCATCCTTATTCTTGTTGAACAAATGGAATTACAATGACAAAATATTTCTAATTGATCTTAAAAAGTACACATATGTGTGCTTATACTTAGAGATAGTTGGTAAATAGTCTTAACTAAGCTAATTATTATTATTATTATTATTATTATTATTATTATTATTAAGGTATATGCTAATGTTGATCATTTTATTTCTTTTTTGTGAATCAAAAAGTTACCATGTAAGCAGTTTTTGTTAGTGTAAGTACTAGAAGCTTATATGTTTTGAATATAAATTTGTATAATGTTTATATTTAGTAAAAGAGACATTTTATTTTAATAATTTTTTTGAAGAATATATTAGTGTTATTAGAATAGTAAATGTAACTTTATAAAACATTAAATAGATGACTGATCATGAGATTTTACAAAGCACTATTCTTAAATATATTATTAGTTAAGTATTGATATTAGAACAATATAATAATTGAGGCTAGTGTATGAGTGACTCATGATCAAATCTCGCATATCATAGATATGAGATAATAAGTTTTAACACGATTTCACATTAAGGGTAATGATACACTAGACTAATCTACCATGAGAATGTTGCATGAGTTATTACATGAGTGTCATAAACAGTTCTCAATGTGATTATAATATATGTAATCTTTTGACTTGACATGACTACAATTCTTACATGAGGAATGTTACACTTTAATTTTGTTAACCATTACTTGCAACAAGGTGATCATAAATGCAATAAGTATAGTAAAAATCATGTGGAGGTATGTGAGCGATGTAAAGAAAGTTTGTCCCTCTTGTCTAACAAGAGTAATGTTTGTGACCACTTGATAGAGTAAAACTTTAAGATGTATGACCATGCTTAGGAAAGGTAAATATGAAATATTTATTTTTGGAAAGTTTGCTCAGATGTCAAGGAATATAAATTGAACCATGCGAGAATGACATGTCTATATCTCATGTTTAATTTAGATAAATAAACAAAACGACTGATCGTATAAATAATTATCACATAATAGGTTATGTCAATTTAAAGAAATTTTTTGTATTCGGGTTATATTGATGTATTTCTAGATACGACTTAGTATTTATGATATTAAACATAAATAATATTATAACAAAATATAAAAAATACTTATAGGTCACACATATAGAACAAGTCCATTAGAAATGTAATATTTTAGTTGGACTTTAAAAATACTTTATTAGGTCAAACTCATTAAGAATGAGTTCAGCCGCAATAGTAAGAGAAAATTAGGGTTAACTATATTCATGTGCTTATAAATAGAGCATGAGATGCTTAAACTTTTGACAACTGAATAAACTATCATTTTGTTTTATCTATGAAATTTTAACCTATTTTTCCATTAGATTTGTTGTTTTACTCCTTGAACTGACTAAGTTTCACTTGATTTTATTGTAGAAAGTAGCGACAATGCAATTTTGTTAAAATGGGTTAAATCATACGTTATTACAATAAACAAAGAATTGGTGGATTTTGGGTTTAATTTTAATTTTAAATTTTGAATCTTGAAAGTATATTTAAAATTTTTAATTTGAATCTGACAAAAAATCATATCTTTTAGAAGGTCAAATTATAACATTTTGGATTCACACTCTATATAAAGGACCTTACTATCTCTAGTAAAAGACACTTAACCTATCTCTCTCTCCATCTCTTTTTTTCTCTGTCAGAGAGTCATGCCTTCGTCAAAATAAATTAGTCATGTGGTTTATCGCTCCTTATTATTTCTTTTTTATAAATGTTCTGTGTTGAGTTATATTTTCTTTCATCTTTATGATTATGTGTAACTAAATATCTCTTGCCATGAGGTTGAGGTGAGTTCTTGTGATGTAACCTCTTTTGAACCCCAATTTAATTTTATTCAAATGTTATTGATGATTGAAATTATCTCTTTGTAGTTATTTACATTCTTGAATTGACCACTCAAGAGTAAGCCTATTTAACAAATTAATAGGTGATCGAACCATTAATAAGTTAATAAAACTATGAGGTAATTTGAGTTTAGAAGTTAAGATTATCAATCTATTACCTCGGTTTCCAATTAGTTAATTAAATTTAATAAATCTAATATTTCTTAATTCTCTTATTTATTTGTTACTGTCTATGATCATTAGAATAACATATAATAAGGAGAATGTCATTATTGCATGATAATTGGATAGTAGTAATAATTAATTAGATGATTGGTAATTGGTCTAACATGATTGAATGAAATTGAAATAAAAAAAAATACATGTAATCATAAAAAAATTTGAAGCTCCAAACTTTCATTTATATAAATCAACTTTGTGATTTTTCTACTTATTGTTTTATTTTCAATTTTAAATTTTATTTAAATCTAAACATTTTTAACCTTTGAATTTATTTAACATCTAAGGAACAATAGTAGTAAATGTTTGCAATATAATTTATGTGAGAATGATACTGGGAGGGTCTCAAACACTCCCCTTTCTTATAATTGGTAGGTATATTTCTCGGTTGGTTAAAAACTTTTTAAGAATTTAAAATTCACAACACATCTTTTGAAAAATCTCAGTCCCCCTTCTCTCTCTTCCTTCCTCTCTTTCTTTCCCACAAGCTACTAACATAGTGACAAAGGAGTATTTTAGTAAGAGTGTTTTTGTGAACTTTCGTATAAACACAATTGTCACTAAGAATGGAAATAGGTTAGGCTTTGCATAAATAAGCCTAGCCTATCTAATATTTTGTTAAGCCTAAGTCTGAACTATTACCCGTCAAAGGCTTTTTATTAAGTCTAGCTTGACATTTTTAAAAGCCTCATTTGATCTATTATCCTTTTTAATGGCCTACTTCGTATCAAAACATTCAATAGGTCATTAAACTTTCTTATAAATAAATTATTAAACCATCTAAATATGTATGTCTTTTAAAATTCATAAGATTTATATCTAAATAAATTATTAAAAAAATGATTCAACACCTTAAATATGTATAATAAAATTACATATTCCTATTTTTCATTTTCAAACCACATATACACATACAAAAAATACAATAATATGAATATCAATTTATAAATCATTAAGTAAATCTAGTAGCATAAAGTCTTACACATTAAATCAATAAACAATATAACTAAATAAGTTTTAGACCTAAAATTAGTAAATGCAACAAACAAAAATCTAACATGTACAAATAACAATATTTTTCATATAGAATATGCAAAAAAAAACTCCAGCAAGCAAAACTCTCTCTCTTAGAGAGTATGTAGTTGAGACATTCTTCAATTTTAGCAAAAAAGATTAGATTTTTTAATTTAAAATTTTATTATTTTAAAATTTAATTGATTTAATATATTATTATATTGTAATTTTTATATAAAATTATTTAATATATTATTATAAATTTTAAATAAGTCATTCTAATAAGCGTAACAAACTTTTTTTTTAAACTCAAGTCTAGCCTATTTAATTAATTAAATTTTTTAAAAAATTTAAATTAAATCTATTAATTAAATAGATTAAGCTTTAAAAAAGTTAGACCATAACATATTTTTATTCTTAATTGTCACTGTTATATTACGTAAAAAGTAATTCTTACTTATATTTTATATGTTTTTTTGTAGTTTGAAACGTGAATGTCGCAGAAGTAATTAGAAATTATTAAATGTTTAGCTGCATTATATGCATTCGATTCTTAACATTTTTTTTTCATTAGTGGTGTTAGGTTTGATATGGCAAACTAAAACATGCTATTGGTTGTACTATAACAAAATAACACATTTTATACCTGATCTTAGCATGGATGATAAATCTTAAAATACTACAAATATTTTCCTTTGCTAGTGCTTAAAATGTTGAAACTTTCTAAATTTAGGCTTTTACTAATTAGTATATTTGGTTTTATAAAATGACTTGAAAGGATAACCTAATATTTTTTATGATCCTATATATTTATGTGATTCGTTATGAGTTTTAGGAAGCACCGAAATATATTATAGATAAACCTTGATTGGGCTAAAGCCTAATTGGAAACTATGTTGATTAATAAATGAAGGGTGAAAATTAAGATAATTGTTATTATATAAGGTTGGGATATCCTCCAGTCTATGTATACCCACTATGGGAGCCTAGTTGCAAGAAAAGAAAAGTAGAAGTAGATCTTGTTCTTGACATATACATGTATATATGCTTGCACAAATTGACATGACTACCTTTGTCCATTAAAAAAAATACACATTTCAAAGTTGGGCTGACTTTGTTACAATTAAATTGTTAGAATGAGACTATTCACTACAGGATAATAAAGGTACAGACATATTTTTTTTTTTTAGAAATAGTTGTTCAGAAAGTCCTCAATTTCACAATCACAAACTATGATAGATTCTTGCCAAATATTATAATCCTAATGTACCATGCCAAGCTTGAAGAAAGAAACAAGCTTGTGACATTGTCATCTTCACTTATACGCGGTGTCACGCACACAATGCTACAAATATTATTCCGTAAGTTACAATAGATACACGGGGAAAGCATGCAACCCCAAAAGGCGGCAGGCAGCAGCACATAACTCAAGTAATGCATCACTCCATGATTAATTGCTTGTGGCGATTGAGGTCATTCAAATAATTAGAGCAAGTATAATCTTCTAGGTCACATGCATCTAACAGGAGCGATCTTGGAGCTATTGATTTTTGGTCGAGTTCAATAGCCACCTCTTCTCCCTTCAGTAGCTGCATAACCTGATGTTCCCATACAGACAAGTCATTAAGCACCACAAAATTTTAGGCTCTAGGTAATTATTGTAGTATTTCAATTCAATCAGAATTGGTATAAATTTTTTAAAAAAAGAAGTAAAAAATTAAAAATGCTTCAAAAAGTATTTTAACTGTCCATGCAGTGTTCCACATGAATATGCATCTATTATGATTATAATGGGACGTGGTAACATTTAGAAGTGTTGTGCTTCCTAAAAAGAATACTCATTCCATTACCTGATTCATGTATGGCCGCTTAGAGGACATGTGGTGGATACACATTGAAGCCGTTTCCATGGCACGCTTCATTTCTGTGGGATCATATTTCTCTTCTAATTTGGGGTCTGCCATTTCTTTGACACTCATTGCATCCAACAGTGGTTTGGCCTGAACAAAGCATAAACATGGTTAGCGTTTGTCTTAAATTACTAGTACGCAACCTTAATAAAACTTTGTAAGCTCTGACGTATGAAGAAGATCTTGATTTCCGACAATCTAGTAGTGCTTAACCTTAGTACTCGTTGATTATTTCTCAGATAATTAATGTGATAACACTCGTCTAGAAAGGTAATTCACTTCTACATGCCATAAACTCTACCACATTTTTCCAATTCTGTCCTAAGGAACTAACAGAAAATAAAGTTTCTTAGTATTAACAAGATTTTCTATTTTCATAATTGGAAGTATTTTTTCGAGTGCACGTGGTTAGAGACAAGGTGAAGGAACAGAGGATTTGAGTATATGGATTATGAAGACTTGCCCAGATCACAAGACTTTCTCTACTATTCGAATCAACTGCACGACGACCTGTTATGAGCTCCAGTAATAAGACCCCAAATGCGAAAACATCAGTCTTCTCATCGACAATTCCATGCATGAAGTATTCTGGAGCCAAATACCTGCAGCCATTGATCAACCAGATTTTCAGAAAATGGATTTACAGTGGGAAGAAAATATTACAAAGCCATGATGATGCAATGCGAACCCGAATGTGCCTTCTATTGGGTAGACAACATGATGGGCCCACTTATCTGGGAGCCACTTTGCCAATCCAAAATCTGAAATCTGCAATTTATTACAGGATGAATTGTTATCTTGCCCAAAAACAAACATGAAGTTCATAGTTTTATACTATCTGCTGATAAAAAAGTACCTCAGCTTCATCATTTTGGTTTAGTAATATGTTAGAAGCTTTGATGTCTCTGTGAATGATTCTTCTTGGGCAATCGTGATGAAGATATTGCAATCCTTTTGCTACCCCAACAGCTACTTTAAACCTTATCTTCCACTCCAAGCATTCAGAACCTGAAATATTGAATGTCACTTTTATTAGTAAAGTCTACACTATTTATTAGTCGAAACGGAAAACGTACACATTATTTATTAATAACTAGTAGCTTATGTAAACTCTGTTTACGCTACAAAAATAGAAGGAAGAGATGCATTGAGAAGTGAGAGAGATGCAGCACTGCACCAAAGAGCAAAGAGGCAAGGCTGCCATGCGGGGCCAATTGTAGAACAAAGTAGAGGCCATGGTCGATCCCAAACCCAATCAAGCGTGTTGCGTTTGGGTGATTAATGTGAGCAATGATTCCAAGCTCTGACAGGAAATCACCAGCTCTGTCCTCTGCTTCCTTTTCGTTCTTCATTAGCCTCTTAACTGCTACAACTTGACCATCAGGTAAGTGTCCTTTGTAGACTTCAGCATGACCACCTTTTCCAATCATGTTCTCTACGCAACCACAAATGCAAACATTAACAAATAAATTCTAAATTGGAGGGAGGGTTGCAAACAAAGTCATCTTTTTTATTTCGACAATCTTATTAATTGGTTTATCTTCTAAATTTTGGGCTCGTCAACTTTCGATACGAATTGGAAAATGATACTTGGCTGCATTATTGCACTGAGGATGTTGGGTGTACAAAGTTCTCCTTATATAGAAATTGGACAGGGTTTTATAATGTTGTTGAAAATTCGAGCCCTCAAAGGTGGTGTACAGAACAACAAATAGCATGACCCAAAGGAATTATTCAGTTGGTGGGACAAAAGGGCAACCATCAGAAGCACACAACTAATTAAAGTTTCACGAAATCATTTATATTACATATCTGACATTCATTTAAATAAAAAGCATACATAAAATGGAGCTGAAATTAAAAAGGGAAAGAGGAGAGAGGGCGTAATTAGTCTTACGAGGGCTGAAATCGTCGGTGGCAGCAGCAAGATCAGCGTAAGTGAAGTTCCTCCAAGAAGGCTTGGTAGGAATACCATCAAGATCAATAGCGGCATCCAAATCGTCGTCTTCGTTAGCGGTTCGAATGCGAGCCAACTTGTTTCTAAGGCTTCTCCGAGATATCTCGTAGCTAGCCGCAAGCAAAGGAATGGTCGAGAATCTTCTCACCGACTTGAACCTCAAAGCATCGATCATTGCCTTCCATTGCTGAGTGTGCCCATCTCTCCCTTGAGCCCGTTGTGGGCCCATCCTAGGAGACCCAGAACCGCTGCAGTTGCTGCTCCCTGTGCTGTCCGAATCCGCCCCCGAAATAGCCACCTCAAACACACCCGTCGGTGACGCCAATACGTCGTCGTCGCATCCAAGCTCTTTCCTCTGGTTGTTCCCAATCATCAATTCCAATCTCCAGTGCCTTGTCTTTTCTTTCATTTCGTCCTTCTTACCCCTTCTCTCTAACCATTCCATCTATAATAAAAACAACCGAACCAAAACCTTAGCCTCGTACCTGTTGCATGGTTTCCTTTTCTTAAATTTTACGTAAGGACAGGGCTGACAGGGTATTTATTTATTTGGGGTGTGATTGTCAGTTATTTGAACAGAGGACAAGGGGAAGGAATGTCACCTTAAGGAGGCATGGTTGGTTACCCCTGGAAGGGTTTGTTCCGAAGATTCCATGTTCTGTGGGATCATGCCCACACCAAAAACGTGAATGGAGGGGATGCGGATTTTTCAACTCGATTTGGCGGTTGAAAATTCCTTTCCTCCTTTCTGAATTTGGTGTGGGTTCGGAAGAGAGAGGGGTGCTGAATGGGACCAGAGGTGACAAGAGAGAAGATGAATTCAAAATTGGTATATCTTTGAAAGATGGTTATTCTTAGGACGAGGTGGAGATGAGCGTGGGAAAAACCAGCTCAGGATGATTGGAATCTTTACTATATTTACACACCTATGTCATTTTCTTTTACTTTTGTTTTTTGTTTCCTTCTTGTGTCTATGTTCTGTCACTTTTTGCAAGCCTTTACCCAAACTTCTTCTGTTCGGAAAACTCGCTAGATGTTTGCTACCGGCTAACCTAGCCGGATAGTACATGCACCTTGGCAAATGTTAATCGAACTGTGCCAGACCTTCACTGATATTTATTTATTAGGTTTACTAGCCATTTTAATTTTAATGACGAAAAATTGTTATTTTAATTTTATAATTTAGTTTACGTGTAGTTTTAGTACTTGTTTAGATTTGAGTTGATTTAATGGCTAAACTATACACAATTTTCAATTTAGTGGAATGGACGGCGACTTTTTTTTTTATTGGCCACGAAACTTCGTTTTAAATAAGAGTGATTCTATTATCACTGCAAAATGTTTATTAATATTTTTTAAAATATTTATATTTAAAATATTTTTATAAGAAAATTTATTCAAAGAGTTATAAATTGGTAAAAAAAAAATTAAAGAAATAATAGACATTTCCTTTATATCAGAACAAATAGTCTTATTTTTTAAAAATTTTAATTGTTTGTATTTAATATTTATAATTTTTTAATCATTCAAATTATATAAACAATTTGCCTAAAAATTTATTAAATAATTAAGAAAACTATAATTAATTTATATAATTTATAAATAAAAAATAAAATAATCCAATAAAAATAAAATAACTTTTATTATATTTTATATTTTTTTATTTTAATATTTTATATATTTTTACTAAATTACATAAATTGATAACATGTTATACATTTATCATATTTTTATTAATTATTGGATAAAAATTTAATATTTGGACATATAAAATAAATAGTGTCAATACCAAGTATAATTAAACTTATTTATGATTCATTTAAGTCCCTCTATGTAACTTTCTATTTTTTTAATATTGTAATTTAAAAAACTAATTATCAAAATATATTAAATTTGAAACAATTTTCTTGTCTGGAGTAATTTGCCAACGTGGCAAAAGGTTTTGCCAAAACGACTGGCGAAAGTAATTATTTTATAAATATTTTATATATTATTTCGCTAGAAAAAAAGCAAAAAACAAAAAGTTGAAACCACATGTCAAATTATGACTAGTTTCGCCATTTGACTAATGAAAGGAAAATAATGTTTCGCCACCACGAGCGCAAAAACAATTAGAAAACAACATGTGGCGGTAGCGACAAAAGTTTTGCTAATGGAATTGCGAAAGTCACCAGGTAAAAAAAATATATAAAAAAATCACATAATCAACGGATAGGGAGTTTATAAGACATGTGGCATAATCTTATCTATTTCGCATTTGTTATGGCGAAGGAGTGTTTCACCAAAGTAGTGACGAAACCAATGAATTGTTGACACGTGACAAGCTACAGTAACCGTCCCTGACCTTCTTCCTCTTCTCGTCCATTCTCATTTTCGTTTTGCATTCTTCGTGTTCGTGGTTGCCTACAAAAGCTCGTTCTCCAGTCCAAGCATTTCATTTGTGAATTGCATTTTTTACCTCAAAATTTACACATGTTTTAGACGTATATATGTATTTGTATATTGATATTTTATAATGTAAATTGATTTGTATTATTTAAAATATTTAAAAAATGATAAAAATTGAATTTTAAATGTTTATAATTTTTTTGCAGGTGATTAAGTGAGTGATGAGTACTAAAATAATTGAGCTGAAAGTTTATTGAGGTTAGTAAAAAAATTTTACAAATTTAAATATTATTATATTATTTGTAGGTATTAATATGTTGTATAAAGAATATTGTTGTACTTGTAGGGTAGTAAATTAAACTGTAAAATTATAATTAACTGTAATTGTAAAAATATTGTTGTTGTATGTTGTATAAATAATATATTATCATAATATTATTAATGTTATATATATTATATTTGTTATATAATTGTAAAAAAAAAATAATTAGTTAAATAAATGATTTTATTAATTATTTATATTTAACTGTAATTGTAACTGTAAGAATATTGTTGTTGTATGTTGTATAAATAATATATTCGCATAATATTATTAATCTTATATATATTATATTTGTTATATAATTGTAAAAAATAATAATAAACAATTAGTTAAATAAATTATTTTATTAATTATTTATATTTAACAATAATTGTAACTGTAAGAATATTGTTGTTGTATGTTGTATAAATAATATATTAGTATAATATTATTAATGTTATATATATTATATTTGTTATATAATTATAAAAAAATAATAAATAATTAGTTAAATAAATTATTTTATTAATTATTTATATTAAGTTTTATTATAATACATAATTTTTACAGCTATATATTAATTTAAATAAAATTTAAAAACTATAAATTTATATGTTCAGTAATAATATAAAATGTTATGACGTATTTAATTAACATATAATTATAATTTGTATGAATCTTATGTATATATAAATTAAAATTGTTAAAGTAGTACTATAGAAAAAATATTGTATGTAGATAATATATTATTTAATTTTAAAAACGTAATATAATTTGCATAATTGTAAACTGTATATAATTTATGTAAATTTAAATTGAATCTATAAAAAAATAAAAATTCAATTAAAGTTATTTTATTTAAACAACGTAACATTATTTATATAAATTGTAGTAAGAATATTTTAATATGAAAAATAATTGCAATAATTAAACTTTTGTATATCGTTAGTAATATGTATAAAAATGTAAATAAGAATATTTAATTTTAATATGAAAATGATATTACGTAAATTATAATGAATGATGAGATTGATATTGATGAGTATATCTAATATTAATGTTTAGAAAATATTTCATTGAATATATATTCATGTCATTACAATGTGATAGTATTTAGTTTGTAAATGTGTTTAACTATTATAGAATGAAATTTTATTAGTTATAGTAATTTTGTTGAATAGATGACATCATCTTCACGATAAAGTAGGATTATTAATTTTGGGCCAAAAGATCCATCACTCCTTCGATTTCAGAGTATTCATGTTTCTGAACATATATGGGATGGACGTGATCACTTGATATTGAGAGTCAGGAAGAACCAGAATATTCCCGGTGAAATAGAGGGTGTTCCAGAAGAAATTATTCTACATCTGGAGTTAGCAGGTTTTATTAGAGCGACAAACTTGTCCCAGTTTCCCCTAGATGTGAGATTGATTACTGCTTTAGTAGAGAGGTGGAGGCCCTAGACGCACACATTCCACATGCCCCCTGGAGAGTGTACTATTACTCTTCAGGATGTTGCTATCCTCTTAGGATTACGCATAAATGGGAAAGCAGTTATAGCACCCATTAGAGGTGATTGAGCGCAGATTGTGGAAGACAGCGTAGGTATCAGACCAGGACCTGAGCATTTTTTAGGGAGTTTCTTGAAGATGAGTTGGTTGGATGAGCACTTCACTCATATTGCCATGCATAATCAGTCTCCACTGCATATTACTCGATTTTCCAGAGCATATATATTGAGGCTTATTGGAGGGTTCATGCTTTCTGATCACTCCAGCAGTAGGGTTTCTGTGAGATACTTGCCTTTACTTGAAGATTTTGAGTTGACCGGTCAATATAGTTGGGGTTCTGCAGTTCTAAGTTATTTGTACTGAGAGCTATGCATGGCCACCAACATTGATTGTGTCGCTATTGGAAGACTTGCTGCGTTGATTGTGATGTGGGCTTGGGATAGATTTTTCCAAATAGCACCTATGAATCCCTCCCATACGCGTCTCTATCTTCCCTACGGTGTTAAGTATGTTGTTATTGTCAGTTTTTTCTGCAAATTGTAAACTGTATGTATAATGTCATTTGTTTGAATTAATGTTTTTATGGTCAAAATTATTTGCAGATGGTTATCGCAGGGTATAAGAAAGGGAAAGAAAGATGTGCAGTACTATATATATATTTTTGATCGTCTAACACGTGATGAGGTATTATAGTCTACTATTATACCTTAGTTTTGATTACAAAATGGAACTTTGATTCGTTATTAACCATATTTTTATGTCATAATACAAATTGTATTGGTGCCATACAATATGAAACTCATCAATATGCTTCCACCTATCTGTAGAGACGGTATGAAGTTATGTAGGGCAGTGGTGCCACTGATATGTTTTCAGGTATGTGAGTGGCATCAACCTAATCGAGTAATGCATCAGTTTGGTATGGTACAACACATACCAAGAGCTTCTTACCAGTCTGACCAGCTACATGACCTTACCCTTAGAGGAAAGACTGGAGAAGATTGGTCATCGAAGTTTAGTGCTATGTTAGAGATTTGGAAGAGCAGGCGACTTTGGTGATGACTAATGATCTTCAGTATGGTTTACTGAGTTCAAATTCAGAATACATGCGATGGTATGTTAGTCACACTCATCGTTGGATGACCAGGGATTGAACTATATCAACTTTATCGGTATGTTGAAAATAGATTTCACTCTTTTCACAATTATTTATTTTAATTTTATCACATTTAAAAGGAAACATTTTTATCATTTTAGGGTGATACGATGGAGAGATTGCACTACTTAAGCACTGATGGACAAGATTGCTTTACCTTTTATGAATTAAAGGACTTGTCTGAGATGCTCCTATCACTTAAGAAAGAGCAAGATCGCATTTTAGAGCCCGTGTCATCTTCAGATC